CCACAGAATGAGGGAAGAGTGCAGGAATGGTAACAGGAGACACAGACACCACAAGTTCAAAACTGTGGCTGAGCACCAAGCAGAGGGTGGGACTGAGCTCTAGAGACTGACCGTCTTCATTCCTCTCACTTTCTCCCTGTGTAATCTGCCGGCTGGAGATGACGTGGAGACAGATGTCTAAGGAAGGGGTAGAGGAAAGTACAGTTCAGGTCAGCTAGGCTGCTAAACCTGAAATGACTCAAGGACACTGGCTGTGCTGAGGGCTCTGGGGCAAGAAGGGTCTGAGGCCCAAGTTCTATGTTTTCCACTCACTACCGCTGTGGGGCTTCTGTGTGTGTGTGTGTGTGTGTGTGTGTGTGCACGCGTGTGCGTGTGTGTGTGCGCGTGTAGCATAACAGGCCCATTACCAGGCTGCCTGCCATGCCCTACTTCCTGACAGAGCCTGGTATCTGCCTTTCCCTCCCACTAACATCCAGATCTGTGCTAGGGAGGGAGCCACTTAAAGGGACCTCAGGAGATCTGCTGACCACTCTCAACCCCTGGGGCACAGGACCATCCTGAGAATCCTGGAAGGAGAGACATCATCCATAGTGACAGGCAGGAGGTGACCTGCCCAGGGTAGGGAGGCAGAACCTCCCAGGCTGCTCCTGAAGCCTCTGCTCCACCATCACCTCCCAAATACTCCTGAGGCACTCCCTCACCTGGAAGTGTCTGTGGGGCTCAAGTAAGGAAATCATCTGCCTGCCTACCTGTCCCCAGCATCATGTTGTTGTTAATGAGAGGACCATGCTGGGTCTATGGACCTATGTGTCCGTATGTGTGCTGGCCAAAGCCTTGGTCTAAGCCTTGCTTTAGCAGCCACTCATCACTAGAACAGAGGTTGTGGAGAAGGGACAGTCCGTTGCCTTCCACTACGGCCACTGATATGGCGTGACCCACCTCTCCAGCACTCAGCACTAGCCCCAAAGTATTCTACAGTGTGCCACAGACACCCACTGAAGCCTCCCATCCCTTTCTGTCGCCTTCCCTCCTTCCTCTCCCTCTTTTTCTTTCTCTCTCTGCTTCCACACACCCCTGTCCAGAATTCCCACTTTAGGTTCAGGGCTCACTCCACCAAGGTTGGCTGGTCATCTTGGCTCCCCTCCCCCTTGCTGGACATTTTGCAACCTGACCACTGCCCCTGCCCTTCACGGCAGTAGGCCTCTCCTTCTTCCTCTCCTCTGCTAGCTTAAGGTTACTTGGCTGCCCTTTGGCACTAAGCCCCACCCTGGAGATCCTGTTCTGGGGTACAGATGGTCTTCTTCCTTCTAGAGATCAGTGTGTCTGCTCAACCTGAGGGGCCCGGGCAGGGACTGGGCATGGAGGAGAGGCCACTCCTGTTGCCCTGGAGCCTAGGAGACCCCTGTGGGAGACTGCCAAGTGACTTCCCTCAGAGTGAATTACCTACTCAGAAGCATGGCATCCTCCAGGCCGAGGCCAGGAACAGATTCATCTCCTAGGTCCAGGTCCTGTATCTGTGTGGGGGAGTTAAGCCTTGTTGAGAGAATGCCATGGTTTGGACTGGGAGGGACAAGACTCCTCACCGGGGTACACCTGGGTCTCCATAGTGTGTTGGGGTGCTCTGTTCCCACAGTCACTGCTGCTGATGTGGGAAGGTGAGTTCTTGGGGAGCAGTGATTCCAGTAGATACTGAACTGGCCCCAAGGCTGAGGAGATGTGGGCCCTAGTGGCCAGGTCCTTGGTCTGGAACACTTTGACCTTAGGAACACCAGCAGTGGGCACAACTGTTGGGCTTCCTGGCTGGAGTGGGCATAGCGCAGAAGCCCTCGTCTGTTCTGTATCCTCTGAGACCCATCCAAAGTGGGCCCAAAGGCTCTCAGTGAGCCTGGGCTGTGAGAAGTGGGCAGTTATGCTTCTTCCCCTCAATGAGCTCGGCCACCCAGGGATCAGGATGGTGCCAAGTGCCCATCTTATCCTCCAAATCTCCCCTGCACAGAAGAAGTGATACACTATTTCACTGGTGAGAAACTGAGGCTTGGAGTTAAAGGGCTTCCCAAAGTTGGGGTGGACCTCAGAGCCTAGGTCTCCATGACAGACCTGTCTCTCTTACTACAGTTAGGAAATATGCTGGAGAGGTGGGTGTGTGTGGGCAGACTGGCTTCAGATGGTGCTGGGTGGTCAAGGAACACTTATTCTCTGGGGGTAGTAGGGCTGTAATTAGGTAGCAAGTAGGGACCCTCTACAAGGGCATGACACCGTATGGGGGTGGGCTCCAGAGTCCACCCAAGTACCTCCAGATGTCTGTGGGTCTGCAGACTCAAAGCCTTGCTATGGCAGCTGAGACTGGAACCCATAGGCTTCTGGGGCTGGAGCTTAGCTCCTGGCTCACCCTGACCCCTCCAAACCATGACTCTACCCCAGGGACCAGCCCTTACTCCAAGAGGCTACACTTGACACAGCTGCCAGCCCCCACCCCACCACACACACACATGCACTTAACCAATAGTTTATTATGTACCCAAGAAGCATTCCCAAAAGCACAGGATCCATTCTAAAAATGACTGTGGTAGGGGGCTGGAGAGATGGCTCAAGGTTACACCCATGCTGGCTAACAACCACCCATAACTCCAGTTCCAGGGGATCTAAAGCCCTCTTCTGACCTCCGCAGGCATTACCCAATGGGGGGGCAATTACATACATGCAGGCAATATACTCATATACATAAAATTTAAAAAAATGGTAAGATACTAAAAAAAGACTGTGTCAGCTGCACAGAGACCTCTCAAAAACCAGCATCTGGTGTTCTGGGTAAAACATCTGACCCCATTTCTGGAAGCCTTTCTACCCTCAGGAGCAGTCCAGCCTCATCTGCTGTCTCTAGATGACACAGGGGCCCTTCCATCCGCAGTCTAACCCAAGGAGCAGCTCCTGCATGAATCCTAACACAGTGAGAGACAGGGGTGGAGGGAGCCTCAGGTGCCCTCTTCCTAAGAGCTGTGCATGCTGAGCTTGCCTGTCTGTGGGCTACTGAAGAGCCCCCTGGGGCCCAGACCTGTGTTGGCTTTGTGTCACACTGCCCCATCCTCCACCTTGTCCATGGGGCAGGTTCCTGTATGCTCCTCTTTGCCACTCACACAGGTAAGACTTTGCCCTCCATGCTGTGAGTGCACCTTAGGGTGCAGGTAATTAATTCAGTCAGATGGCAGGGGTCCTCCGGCTCTTCCTAAAAATTCTTCAAACTACCTGATCCTCCGTTGCAAATGATGAGATTGTTCCTGTTATTTTCTGTTCCTGGGGATTCATGGACTGGACCAAGTTTGGCCCAGTGATGACAAGGCCCTGCAAGTTTCTCAAGTAGGACTGAGCTTGATGCCACTCTGCACACCAGGAGGTGGGACAGGGGGCAGCCCCAGAAGTCTATGCATTCATTCTACCAGATGTGGAGGGAAGAGGAAGCTTTGGGACTCCCAGAATGCCTGAAGTTGCCACAGCTGTGACCTGAGAAGCACAGCCCAAGTACTCCAACCTCCTAGGCAATGTCCTAGATTCAAGGGTGGAGCTCCACGTCCAGTGACTGGGCAGCTAGTGCCTTCGCATGTACACAGAGGCCCAAGTCCAGAGAGGTGTGCCTGCCAGAGGCTGGGGAAGAAGCAGTGCTGGGGTGGGGGGGTGGACATTCACACCTGGGGTCCCCATTCCTACAGGTGGACATTGCACCCAACCCCCCTGCACCCCACATCCCTGGATTCTTTGAACCCAGACTTGCTGGTGTCAGTCATTCCTCTTTGGATATCCTGCCCCTCCCCATGTCTACTTCCCTTTTGCTAAGCGAGGCTCTGGGCCTGCCTTGCAGGGCAGGTAAGGCAGTGACCTCTGCCCTGCAAAGGCACTCCAAGTCCATTAGGAGAGAAGTTGGCTGCTGGGAGCCCCTTCTCTCCCCTAGCTGCCAGCAGCATCTCACCTGGTGGGACCCTGGAGGGAGGGGGCCTACACGCTCAGGCCGGCCTTCTGTGCCAGTTAACAGGCCTGGTTGGTTGAGGGTGGGCGGAGTGGTAGGGACGCTCCGTGTCTGGGGTCTCCTTGAGGTGCCCTCACAGACACTGATACTCCAATGAGCGGCGCGCTTAAGCCGGTGCCGGCAGAGCAACACGAGCCCTCCGTTCGCGGCTGGCCAGTGTCCTAGTCCCCCGGCTGCGCCAGCGGATGGGCTGGGAGCCCACGTCTTAACCCAAACCCCAAGGAGCCCGCAGGCGGACCTCTGGGGTCAGGGGCGGACCCGGGGAGGGGCCTCGGGCCCAGGCCTGGCGGTCACCTCTGCGCTCGACCCGGCCAGGCAGGGCCAAGCAGTCCGCAGTGAGAGCGACTGGGACCCAGAGGTAGCCGGGTAGGGGGCTCCGGAGGGGGACAAGGGGTAGCCACAGGCTGCCCTCTGCGAGGCCCAGGGGTCGCGGGAGCAATTAGTGGGGGCAACGGCGGGCTGGAAGGGGGCAAGGGGACCCAGAGGGGAGAGCCGGGGGAGGGGGCGCAGGGGCGGACCTCCAGACCCAGGAAGGGCCGAGGACCCGCGACGCCAGGGCGAAGGCTTGGGGACACACAGCGGGACGCAAGCGCCACGCGAGCCCGCGTGACCCGGGTGGCTACTAGTTCCCAGAGCGCGTGCGCCGGTCCCTCGGGGGCGGGGAGGGGGGGCGTGGCCGTCTGTTTGCTCTGCCCCCTTGGGGGGAAGTTCCGCATCTGCGCCCCACCGCCGCGATGGCCACTCCTTTGGGGCGTGGCCAGGTGAGACGACCACGCCCCCTCCCTGCTGCCCTCGCGTCCGCCGCGCACGGCTTTGTGGGCGCTGTAGTGCGCGTGGGCGCAACCCAGATCGCTGCCGCCCGCCGAACAGGTACCATCTGTGGGCGCAGGGCTAGGGGCGTGGACCCACCATGTGGGTGTCTGGGGAGCCGTGAGGCGCGTGCAGGGCGCGGCCCTGGGCCTTCCGGCGTGCTGAGGATGCGAGCGGGGCTCGGACTGAGTTCTGCCGGGTGTCCGGGGGTCTCCGGGGTGAGGGCAAAGCTCCGGGCAGGGTTTGCAGCGTGTCCGGGAGGCTGTGGAGTGAGCGAGGGACGCCGATGTGGTCTGTAGGGTGGGTGAGTCCTGGCGTGGGCCGAGGTCTGTGGGGTGCAGGGTCCTTGTGTGCATTGCTGGGCTCGGGCAAGAACCCCAGTGTTCCGTGGGCAGGCTCGGGCACAGTGGTCTACAGGCTGGTCGGGTGCCTTGGGCGCACGGTGGAAGGTGGTAACTTCCTGCCCCGCCGCCTTAGCGGGGGCTGTGAGTGCCATTTTCCGCTTTGTCCCCCTCGGGAGCTGAGCCCCCTTGCCGTCGAAGTACCTTCCCCATGTCAGGAACAACCACGTACGCCACTTTGGAGCACGTGCTGTGTGCTAGGGAGCCCCGCTTGCCCACGCCCTGTCGGCGGCTCGCATCCAAGCCCCATTGTTGTCTCGCTCTCAGTGTGTAGGTATTGGACAGCTCGAACAACTTCCCCTTGGAATACGTGGTGTCTGCAGCCTGCATCGCTGCTGAAACCTGCCCTTAGTGTGCTTCCAACATCTATGACAGGAATTGATTCTCAGGGCGCGGTCCACATCCCCATTTGAAAGCGAGTGACCCAGGCACATACCATATTCTGGAGATTTCTCACCCTGTGAACAAGCCCAGCCCTGACCTACCTGGCCTCAGCATGCAGATCAAAACCTAAGAGGGCCAGACGGCCAGAGCATACCCACAGGAAGTTGTTCTGAAGATGGAGTAAATCCTTGCAAATGCTTGCATGACCACTCTGCAAAGAAATCACCTTCCCTCAGGGAGACTTGCCTCCCCAGCAGCCCAGATGGACCCAAACAACACTAGAGTCTGTGTAACTTGCCTGTGCCCTCCAGGTCTGGGAGCCAGGTGTGCTCCAGCATGGCACTGCCTTTGCACCTGCTGGCTGCTTCCCTTCAGAGAGGCCTTGAACTCGGCATGTTATGCTTGTGTGTTCTGGAGGGGCTGGGGAAGGAGGTGCCTCTGGGCACCTTACTTAGCTTGCAGCAGAGATAGTCAGTACTCAGCTATCACACTGGGGAGGCCACAGTGCTTTTTCCTTTTTCTTTCTTTGACATAGGCATTCTGAAAATGTAAGGAACCTTCCTAGTTTACAACAAAATGAGAGCATTGTTTGCTTTTGCTTTGGTTTTTGGGTGCCATCGAAAGAGTGTGGGGAACAGTTGTATACCACACTCCCTGCCCCCCTTGCCCTGAAGGTGCTAGGATTGCTCAAGAAGGACTATGTAGTGTCCCGTTCCCCCCCACCACCCAGTTTTCCCCCAACCCTTCTGACTATCAGGAACTTCCTTCAGTTGCCAGGAAGAGGCTGTAAGTTGCATGGGGCTGGGCTGTGGTTAGGACATGTGGGGTCCAGGCTCAGCTGTGCTGCCTGCTTGTCATGAACTTTCATACTCTGTTTCTTCACCTGAGCACCTGACAGATTCTCCCATCTTTACTCTTAGAGCAGGGGTTTGGCTGAGCTGAGTCGAGCTTTGTTAGGAAGAGTAGCCTAGGCTCTGCTGTAGAGAGAGAGGGCCTTGTGTCATAGCTAGACCTGTTGATGGGAGGAATGTAATAGACTGACAAGGGCAATTTCTACATAGCTGACAGCCAGGGGCTGTCTTGGCCTCCATCCCTGGAGGTGCTGAGAATCAGGGTGAAACTACCCTGCCCCAGGCAACAAGAGGCTGTGAGTATAAACAAGAGTTTGGACCTATGAACTCAGGTACTATGGGGCCAGTGTGAAAGACAGATTTTGAGTAAGACCCTGGACTTTTGGCCCCTATCCTGTGTGGCAACTCCTCCCATGGCTGGTCTGTGGCCTGCCCAGCAGACACTGGTGTTGTCAGCTGAAAAGTGTATTGCTGTAGTCCCTCCTCTTCCAGCCCCTAGTTCATCCACTGCTCCTGCATTGAAGCCTCTGGGCTTTGGGAGGTGGCCCAGGGCTACACCTGCTCTGGAACTGGAGAGGGCAGGTCTTTACAAAACCTTTAAAGCTGGAGGAAAGTGGCAGCTGGAGGGGGCCTAGGGGGCTGGCAGCTCCTTATCTGTCATTTTCTGATGACCATTGCTGTTTCTGCCTCTGGGCATGAGAGGCACTGGACCAGCCTTGGAAGTGAAGGTCTTCATAGACAGACAAGCCACCTTTGTCCAGAGCCAGGTAGTACCTCCTGGCTCACATCAGGGAAGAGCCAGAGTACCCTCCCAGGAGCCATTCCCTAGTCCCCAGTCCCCAGTCCCCAGTCCCCAGACAATGGGCTTTCCAACTGAGCAGTTTTTTACATAGTCTAGACTAAGAGTGGAAGTCATAAGCTGGTAGACTGTAGACTTGAAGTGTCATCCTGTTGGGGACATGTCTGGCTCCTTAGCAATCATGTGGTCTGAGAATAGAAATGACCCAGGGGCTTGGGCAGGCCTCCTGAGCCTTGTCACCAAGATTTCAGAGCCCCCTACTCTGTTGTAGTCTTGTCTCCATATGGCTAGGAGGCTTTAGCCTTGAACAGGCCTGAGTGGATGGAGTTCTTAGACTCCCAGAGGACAAGCTTCAGGAGTCCATTTCTTGGACCCTTAACCACTAGAGAAGACACCTGCCCATCTGAGCACTAGTCAGAGTGGGGCAGCCATGCCAGTCTGGTAATCCTCGATGCTCATGCCATGTGGGCTCTGGGAATTCTTAGAGTGGCCTTTCTAGGTGTGGTGGGTCACCTGTTGAAGAACTGAAGCTAGAGTTTCAGACAGACCCCTGGGCAGGGCCATGATGAACTCTCAGTATGGTTTAAAAGCTCAGTTCCCTGTTCTTAGAAGCCTTAGGAATCGGTGGAACTGTGTAGGTAAAAACAAGAGTATGCTTTGTACTGGTGTCTGAGAACTTCTGCTATCCCCTAGGATCTCAAGTGACACCAAGTCAGCAGTGTTCCTGTCACTCTGGGGATGGTACCTTTCAATGGGGTCCAGTTCCCAGGGATACCTAAGTCCATACTGGATACAGAATCCTGGATTTAGCTAAGTTCCTGACCACTACTTGGGATGTTTTAGATGAACAGGTGCAGTTGCCATGGACACCTGACCAACCTGGAAGTCCCAGCAGTGTGTTTTGGGGAGTGGCTCTGCCCTGCCTGCACATGCCTCTGCTCTCTGCAGGCCTGGGCTGTTTTTGTAGCTCTGGGGAAGTTTTGGAAAGTAAGTCTAAGCAAAGCAGAGCTGAGTTTGTCCAGCTGAGGCTGCAGCCTGTGCTTTTGTCTTCTCCAGCCAGGCCCCCTGCCTGGGTGCTTGTTTCCATCCTATCCTGAGAACTTGGATCTTGTCCCAAGCCCTGTAGCTTCTGGGGTCATCTTCCCAGGTGTCCCCTCCCTCTGGAATGCTGGAGTTCTCACAGCTGCCTGCACCTCAGCTTGCCCTTCCTTGCAGTTCCAACAAGCAAACCCACAAACTCCTGCTTCTTCAGGGTCCCTGCTTTCTCCCTTGATGTAGAAAGAGGGCTTAGAGGATAGTATCCAGGGCAGTCCTGACAACTGCATAGTTTGCCTGTGCAAGCCCAGTGGGAGATAGATTCTCCTCACAGCAGGGGTGTGCAGCTTTAGAGTACACTGCCATGGGGAGGAGGGATAGGGGGAGAAGCAGGTATCCTGTGGAGGCTAACAGCAGCCGTGGGAAAGTCAAAGCAAGCCTTGGGAAGGAGAACCCCACTGTGGGCCCTGCAGGCCACTTTGCCTTTCCTGGACTTTGGTGTCCTATGGGGACTCGGAGGACACTTCTAGCCTAAGAGATCTCAGTGTAGGGTCCATGGTTTGGGAATCTGGGTGCTCCAAGTCTTTCCCACATCTAGGGAGCTTTCGTTGCCTCCTTGCTCAAGGGTTGGAGGGGGCTCTTCCCTAAGTCTAGATCCTCTGTGGACACTTCTTGGTGTAGGACCTGTAGTGAGGACCAGAAGGACTGACCACCTGAGTTCCTGTTCAGGGGAGCAGGCCATCAACATGGTCTTCTATCCCTGTGACTACTCTGCATTGCACAGCCCCAGTCCATCTTATTTGACCCCACAGCCATCAGGGAAGAGCTGCATCTCAGCCACCATGTCTTCAAATTCATCTGCATTAAACTGGGTGAAACCCCACTTCTTTGAGATGTGGCTCTAGAGACGAAAAAGAAGAGTGAGGAAGATCAGTGCAAGGATGTCGGAAGGGGCTTGGTAATAAAGGTGGCCAGGGAACTTGAGCTTGGCTCTATGTAGGGCCACAATCACATGTTCCTTATTTGCATTTTGGTGCAGATGGACATGGTGACCTGGCCAGTGTGAACCCTGGCCACTGTGCCATGAGGCTTCCCAAAGGCACCTTGCATACCTGTCTGAAGCCTAGATTGGGGACAGCATTGAGATCAGAGACATGGATATCCAACAGAAAACTATCTCCAAGGTCCCTTTAGAGCAACCCACACATGCAGCAGGCTGTACACAATACGAAGGAGGTTGTTGTTTACAGCCTCTGCACCCCAGGCCCCATGAGGAAAGGAACCTGGTTGGCTTAACTGACTGCAGAACAGTTCCCTTTTGACTTATATCAGTCCATTACACAGAAAGCCCAGGGCGTGTGCCATATAGAGATGTAGATGTACAAATGAGCCAAGGGTATAACTTGGGACCCTGATGAATGGATATGGCTCCTGCCTCTCTGTTAGAAAGGACAATTGGCATCTTCTTGCCTGAGCCAAACAGAGCAGCCTGCACCCAGGACAGAATTGAGAAGATGAAAATGCACCGAGCTGGACAATTCTCAGTGTGCCCCATCTCAGCACCCAAAGTACCCTGGGCCCACATGTTGCAAGATCAGAGTGGGGTCAGTACAGCTAGGGTGCCGTTAGGGCAGTTACTATCAACACCAGCCAGGGCTAGCTTGTCCTAAGTCCTGTGGGTCCACAGGCTGCCAAGTCCTTGAAATGGGCTTGAGGTGCCCCCAAACCTGACTTAAATGTTACTAATCTACTTACTAAAGTAAACTAATCAGTTAATGTGCATTGATTAACATTTAAATAGCCAGTTGAGGCTTTGGTTTGCTTGGACATCCTGGAGGCTATGCTGGCCTGGGGAATGGGCTCCTGGAGCTCTTAATGGCTCTTACCTTGTCAATGCAGGTTGACGATAGGGGTCTGGGGGCCTGCAGTAACCACATGTTGAAACTGGATATTAGCTAAAGGACCCAGATGAAATGGGTACCTGTGGCCCTTTGCTGACCCTGGGCTCTTGGCTCTTCTTTCCAGGTGGAGTGTCACCTTTGTTCATCACCAGGTCCTGTGAGGGCCTGGGCAACATGGTACCCTCTGGCCAGGCAGCAGAGAAGCAGGCATGTGAAGAGCCAGGGTCGGGCCCTGAGCTGCAGTCCTGGCGGTGCCTGGTGGTCTATCTCTGCTTCTTCGGCTTCATGGCACAGATGCGACCCGGAGAAAGCTTCATCACGCCCTACCTCCTGAAACCGAATAAGAACTTCACAGAGGAGCAGGCATGTGAGCGGACTGTGCGGTGGGCAGGGGAGCAGCAGTGTGGGCTAAGGGTTTCTTTCTGGTTTGATGCATGGGCAGCTGAGGCTACGAAGCTGAATGGCTGTGGGAGATTACAGGGGCCAGAGGGAATGGGCTGGGTGCAGCCCCCGCCCCCCAACCTGTTGCAGCGAGCACACAGAAGGGCTTGCCCTTGCTATGTTAACCCAGCCAGATAGCGTGTTATTGGCTTCCATAGAGCGGGTACTGGCACCTGTTTTGGGACTGAGGAAGAATGAAAATGAGGGGTGCTGCCAGCACCGTCAGGTGACCCATCTGTCCTGGTGAGAAAACCCTTGCCCAGCCACACCCAGCTTTGCTTGGCACCTGCCTCCTGCAGGGACTTTGCTATTTGTATAAAGAGATTATTGAAGGAATTTTCCTCTTACTTAACTATGGGGATAGAGGGTCCTATTGAAACTCTCCTAATGAGCTTAAGCCCATGGGCAACCCAAGCAGACTTGGGCGTGGTTTCCTTTTGAACTTGTACTGCATGCTGTATATGGCAGGGGCTAGACAAAGCGTGAAAGGCATTACCACTTCCTTCATTCACTTCTTGAATAGACAGCTTCTCTGCTTTTAGAGAAGGGTCACTGTCGACCATCACTATTTTCAGGAATGAATATGTGTGAAGCTTCTGTTACAATGCAGTAAGGAAGCTCTCACAGGGGCTAGAGAGAGAGAGCTCAGTAAGTTAAGTGGTAATTGCACAAGCAAGGCGGATAGTACCTGAGGAGCACTCTGGCCTCCACACACATGTACATGCACCCACACTTACAAAGCTGCACACACTCAGACTCACACATATACACAGAAAGAAGAGAAATATATAAAGCCTGTCTTCTTTGTCATGTTGCATATTAACTGTTTAGAAAGTAGATTCCAGAGGCTAAGCCAGTCCACCAGGCCTTATATGTCATTCAAGGACAATGGTTACAGCTTCTGCCCACCAGCCCAAAGTTGAGACGTGGGCCTCAGCCCTTCTGGCTGCAAAGGAGGACAGGAAGCCAGGTACTGGGCAGTCTTCTAGAATCTGCCTTCCTGCCAGATTCCTGGAGGTTCATCTACACAGATTCAGACTGGTCGTATTCAAGTATTGTCTACTGATTGAATCACAAAGCCTCTATGCTTCAGTGGAGTGAGCAGCTAGCTTCTAGCTTTTTGTTTTTTTAAACCAATCTAGGGGCTGCTCAGGTGTGGGGAACTTGTTAAAATCCTCAGGTGTGGAGTACTGAATATTCCAGAATCCTTGGGATTGGGTCCCTAGACACAACAGATCCCTGGGCTGTAGTGTTCCAGCATGATTCCTGTCCCCTCTGCCATGACGCCTGCAGAACATGGTGCTCCACCTGTCTGTGAGCTGGGCACCGGGTCCCCTCCATTTCTGTCCTGGATGGGGTCTTCTGGCTGTCCCAGAGCATTGCTGCAGAACTTGGGACTGGCTACCTTTCTTACTGCTCTGGAAAGTCTACACTGGCCATCCTGTTCCTGGGTCCCCCTTTCCCTGCCCTGAGTTAATGAAGGTGCCTGTGAGGTTCGCCTGGCTCCTTCCATTTCAGCTGTGGCCATTTGGAACTGTGCTGTGCAAAGTTAGGTATATCCCTCCCTTTGGAAGGACCCTGCATACAGCAGTCCTTCCCAACTCTCAGGCAATGCTGCATTGGGGCTGGGGCTTGGCATGAGTTGATGCTGGGGTAAGTTCTCTCTCTACTTGAAGGATTCTGCACAAAACAGTCCTTCTGACTCTAAGGCAGTGCTACATTCTTGGGCTAAGTTTTGGCATGGCTGTTATCCCTGTCACACCATGTCAGAAGGAAGCAAGATTGCTGTGCTCTGGTGAGTGGTGACCCCATACTTAGACTCTTGTCAGCCTGGATGCTGTCCTGCCCTGTGCCCTTCTGCATCGACACAGGGGTCAGCTCTTCACTGCCTGATCAACCAGGACCTATTAATGCTAGACAATGCTGGGCTCAGGTGGCAGAGAGTGTTCCAGTCAGCTGGATACCAGACAGATGCCACTAACCTCTGGGACCTTTGTAGGTGCCTCTTCCCCGGCAGCCTTTCAATTGGGACCCAGGTTATAGCCCAGTGCAGAGACTCCTTGTCACCCATTACTGAGCCTTAGGGAAGAGCCAGTGTGTATTAGTCACTTTTCTGTTGCTGTGATAGAAACACTGACCAAAGCAATTTATAGAAGGAAGGGTTTATTTGAGCTTAAGGTTCCAGGAGAATTACAGTCTGTCATGGCAGGGAGGCATGGTGGCTGGAGGTGGAACAGGAGCAGCAGAAGCTAAGCTCTCACATCATGATGCAGGCACAGGACGCAAGAGAGCGACTGGCGATCTGGCAAGGTTTAAGAACTCTCTAAGCCCACCCCCAGTGATGTGTTTCCTCCAGGATAGCCACCCCTTCTAAGACCTCCCAAAACAGCGCCATCATCTGGGGACAAAATGTCTAAACACTTGGAGCCTATGGGGGACATTTTCATTCAAACCACCACACAGTGATATGGGTGTATTTGTAGCCACCCTAATCCCTGCCCCTGTCCCTGGCTTGAGAGCTATGGCAGGAGCCTAGAGTGAAACGAGGAGGTGCCGCGAAGAAGCCTTGGTCTAGGGAGGAGAAGGTGTCCATGAATTCAGAAAGGGCCCCAGATCATTGACTCTAGGAAGTGTGAATGAGGCCCTGCCTTCCATCTGGCCTTTCCTGTCAGACCCGTGCTGTGGCCTTGGAAACTGGTGGGTAAGCCTGGCCCCCTTGAAACCCTGGCAGAGCCACATGGGCTCCTGTCTAAGTCAGCAGGACCAGAACTTTAACCACCTTGGCCCATTGTGCCTGGCTGCCTCTGGCCAGGGGCCTCTCCAACCCTAGCTGAGCAGGGAGAGGTGTTGCCAACATGGGCTGTTTGACATCTTCTTGGCTTTACCTTAAACAGACACAAACCCCTATAGTTGGGCTCCCTCTAGGTTGTGGGCCTCCTGGGAATCTTACCTACAATGAGGACCTCCAGAAAGTCCTGTGGGAGGGAACTTAAATGCTTGGGGGTTTCTGGGATCCTTTGGGTGAACCTTGAACTTTGTGAGGCACAGAGTCAGGAAGAACCACCAGGCAGGAGAGAGCCTTGCTTGCCCTCTGGGGCTTCACACACTGGTCCTCTCACCCAAGCCCAAGTTTCTGAAGTCCTGCTTGGCAGCTGCCTTTGATGACCTGGGGTTGCCAGCAGACCATCTTGGCTTGGCACAACCCCTACATAGTGACCTGGGCTCTATTCTGGGTCCTTGATTTTCTATCAGTCAAGTGAGGCTGGCCCTGGTGTCTGCAGGTCTCTTGGGACCATGGGTCCCTGGGATTGCTTGTTGGTAAGACTGAGTTGCTAGTAGTTGGGCTGAGTTAGGGCTAGTGCCCCAGTCAATGGGAAACAAGTCTTAGCCTCTGGGAGCCCAGAAAGGCCTGTCTCCAGCTCCCCTGGTCTACATACCAGCTAAATAAAGGTCTGATGGGAATCCTGCTGAAATCTACCCTGGCCTGGGAGGAGATTTTAAGCTCAGGGTGGCTGCATGTCCATATCCCAAGCCAGACATTTGGCATTTGGGTCTCTATGGGATGGAGCATCTCCTTGTGGAGTGTCCAGGTGACCTAAGGCTCTTGGACACTAGCCCCTCCCTAGGCATCATAGTAGAGTCTGGGGCAGTGCCTTTTGACCTCTGTCCTGCAGGAGGTAGCTCCCCTTCCACATGCCTGGCTTCATGTCTCCCTGGAGATGTATAGATGTCACAGCAGGAGCTAGGTCAGAGTGGCCACCAGAAGTTGGCCTGGATGAAGACCTTGAAGGCCGGATCCTACAGGCAGCATTCCCTAGTTCTGCCTGATGTAGTGGTGTGGGCTGATGGCTTGTGGTGCAACCTCCCTCCCTGCCAGGGCCAGTGTGGGGGCTCTTGGTAAAACCCTGTCCTTCCCCCTCCATCTTCTGTGTGTCCTGCCTAGCTGTCTGTGTGCCCCTCCCTTTATCTTGTCTTGCTTTTCCCTTCCCTGTGAGGACTGAAGAAGCTTGTATTGGCATCTACCTGTCCCCAGTGCTGTTTTCTACTTAAGGTTAAGATGAATGAAGATCAGTAAGTCTAGGTGTGATCCAAGATGTAATTCATAGTGATTTTTCTTACAGTGTTTGCCAACTTTCTGTGGGTTATGCCTGGGTGTGCAGTTTCTTGGTCTGGGAGACTCTCCTGGTTCCTGGGCTTCCTTGAGCCTTGGGCAGGATGGGGGAGGTCACATGGGCATATGCAGTGCAAGGCAGTGGTCAACAGGGGAACTGGGACGAGGTGGACTCTTGCCTGCTCACTCTGGAGCACTCATTGGTGTGGTCAGTGTGTTACTAGTCGGTGCCTGCCTCTCCACAGGTGACCAACAAGATCATACCGGTTCTGTCCTATTCCTACCTGGCGGTGTTGGTACCCATCTTCCTGCTCACTGACTACCTGCGCTACAAGCCAGTGCTGGTGCTGCAGGGCCTGAGCTATGTGTGCGTGTGGCTGCTGCTGCTCCTGGGCCACTCGGTACTGCACATGCAGCTCATGGAGGTCTTCTACAGCGTCACTATGGCGGCACGCATCGCCTACTCCTCCTACATCTTCTCCCTGGTGTGCCCTTCCCACTACCAGCGCATGGCCAGCTACTCACGGGCAGCGGTGCTGCTGGGCGTCTTCACCAGCTCTGTACTGGGTCAGCTGTTGGTCACCCTGGGCGACGTTTCTTTCACCACGCTCAACTACATCTCCCTGGCCTTCCTCATCTTCAGCCTGGGGCTTGCGCTCCTCCTGAAGCGCCCTAAGCGCAGCCTCTTTTTCAACCGCAGTACACTTGTGCGTGGGGCCTTGCCCTGTGAGCTGGACCAGATGCACCCTGGCCCTGGGCAGCCAGAGCCCGGGAAACTGGAGCGTGTGCTGGGTGCTTGCCGGGACTCCTTCCTGGTGCGCGTGCTCCGGGAACTGTTGGACAGTGCACGGCGGCCTCAGCTGCGCCTCTGGTCCCTCTGGTGGGTCTTCAACTCCGCAGGCTACTACCTGATCATCTATTACGTGCATATCCTGTGGAACACCCCTGATAGTGCATATCCTGTGAAACACCCCTACAACGGTGCCGCAGAAGCTGCCTCCACACTGCTGAGTATGGGCTGGGCCCCTTGCCTTTCCCAGCTGGACCCTAGCAAGCCTGTAGCCCAGCCCCTCTCCTTGCCCTGGGCTAGACCACCAACATAGGCTGCCTTACCCCTTGCCCCACCCTGCTTCTGCTCCAGTGTGACCCTTACCCAGCCTGCGTCCCTGCCCTCCTCCCCCAGGGTTCTGCTGCCCAAGCTCAGCTGTGACTGACGCCTCCTACCCCCAGGCGCCATCACATCCTTCTCCGCTGGCTTTATGAAGATCCGCTGGGCTCTGTGGTCAAAGCTGGTCATCGCAAGTGTCATAGCCATCCAGGCTGGGCTGGTTTTCCTCCTGTACAGCACCAGCAACATCTGGCTGTGCTATGCGGCCTTTGTGCTGTTCCGTGGGGCCTACCAGTTCCTTGTACCCATCGCCACGTGAGTGGGATAGTGTGGGATGATGTGGGGAGAGGCTTTTAGAAGGTTCTGTGGAAAGCACAAGGCAGTATGGGCAGCTACCTGGGAGACCTGACCTGACCTGACACCCTTGGCTTCCTGGGCCCTGTGATCCCTGTGCTGTGGGTCTGTACGGGCAGTGGACCGCGGAGGATCTGCCACCTTCCTCAGGATTGCCGGTGCTGACTCTGCTGGTTCTTTGTGGACCTTTCTGTGTCGTCACTGCCCCACAAATCACATGGTTGACCAGAGTCCCACGTCCCCTCCCCTGCGGCCCCGTACCCTGTGTACCCTCACCTCAGGGCCTCTCCTCACACTTCCACTGGCATCCTACTGCTCCCTTGGCTTGCCCAAGCCTTCTGGCCCCTCCCTAGACTTGTCCTGCTTACTCTCCCAGATCCTCCAAATGCTGCTTCAAAGGTGCCTGGTACTCGCTCACCTGCTCCTGAGGTGCTGCCCAGGCTGAAGTGGAGTGAGCGCACATTGCTGTGTGTGAGGGCACACTCAGTTCATGCACAAATATATCAGACAAGCTCACAGACGTGTGCTTACATCACAACATACCGTACATCAGACAGCACACTTGCACACATATACCACGCAGTACATGTGCAGACACCACACTGCAGGTTCACAGTACACATGCATATGTGCTGATAGCATGCCCCACACTACATGTATACTACCCATGCACAAATGATGCACCATACATATATAGCACACATACACACGTACTTATACTTATCCACAGCACACATGCACTCAGCCACACATGGGCAACTTGCCTTCCTTGGCCTCCCCACTGCCCATCGCTTCTGGGAGGACTTTGGTTCCTTACCTCCCAGGGTTGAGTAGCCCTGCCTCCCTCCCCACTTGGACTGCTTCCTCCCGTTCTTCGGACACATACCCATTTGTACACATGTCCCTGCCTCCTGAGTTGAGATCACCCTCCAGTTCGGTTCCTGGTCTTCAGGAGTCTGCCTCTCCTTGGGCATGGTCTGAGCCCTAGAGCCTCCTGTTTGGCTGTCCCACATCACACTGATTTGTGGCTGCCCTGCAGGCCAGAAAGTTCTGGACCAAACCTAGCATAATTTCTTCTCTTCTGACCACATTCTTGGGCTATGGGGTGATACTATGGCCACCTTCCCTATGCTGGCCTCACAGTGTCCCAGGGTTCAGCCTTCCTCTGAGACTCCTGCCCCGATGTTAGCCATTAAGCCACCCCCCCAGCCTCTGTGATCTCTGCCTTTAATGTTCAACCCCATTGCCCAGTCTCACTGCTCCCTCCTAGTTTCCTGAGTACCCATGAGGTCATTCTGCACCTTTCTGTCTCTGCCCCCAGGTCTCGGGGTGATGAGTCAGTAGGAGCCTCTCTGCAGGCATCTTTTTGTGCTTAGCTGGGAATCTGGTGGGGTTGTGTGCCTTTGGGCAAGCATGTGCCCTGGCACCTTTCTGCAGATAGCAGGTCACTGGGTGGATGCAGGAGTCTCTCCTTGTCTCTCTCTCCTCTTTCTTCTCTCTCTCTCCTCTCCCTCTCCCCCCCTCCCCTTTCCCCCTCACCTCTTTCAGGTCTCACTGTAGCCCTGGCTGGCCTGGAACTGGCTATGTAGACTAAGTTGACCTGGCATTCACAGAGACCTGCCTAGCTGCCTCTACCCCCCCCTGCCCCCCACACCCAGCCTTCTCTCTGCTCTTGTGTCCTCTCCAGTGTGTCCAGTTACAGCCTGCTTTTCCCTCCTAGTTTTCAGATTGCATCTTCCCTGTCTAAGGAGCTCTGTGCCCTGGTCTTTGGGGTCAACACGTTCCTCGCCACTGTACTGAAGACCTCCATCACACTTGTGGTCTCTGACAAGCGGGGCCTGGGCCTCTCAGTCCGTTCACAGGTGAGCCCCCACTTTAGTTTCCTGCTCTAGGAGAAAGGAAACTTTTGGTTATGGCAGGGCCTCCTGGGGTCCGCTTGCTGTGGTCTACTCTCGGGGAACACAGATACACAGATCCATTGCCACTGAGGTGTTCAGGGTATGAGATAGGTGGGCAGGCTCACCTTTCCAGGGGCATTTGATAGGATGAGGATGGCCACTTTTTTTTTTTTTTTTTTTTTTGGTTTTTTTGGGACAGGGTCTCCCTGTAGCCCCAGCTGTCCTGGAACTCACTATGTAGACCAGGCTGGCCTCGAACTCACAAAGATCCGCCTGCCTCTGCCTCCCAAGTGCTGGGATTAAAGGCGTGCGCCACCATGCCCAGTGAGAGTGGCCACTTTTATCCACCCAAGTGCCCCTGCACTGCTCCTGTCCAGGTTTATCTCTGGTTGGACCTCTGGGATCTGGAACTTGTAGGTGACCAGCCTCTGAGGTTGGCTGAGTTGCTGGTCATTTCTGAGGTGTTCTCATGGGACCTTGTATGTCCTTACCCTGGCCTGTGTCACTGGGCTTGTGCTGTCACAGCCTCTTGCCCTTCGTTTCACATCTCTGCTTGTCGCTGTTAAGACCTAATGGCCTAGAGCCCTGGTTGGATGGTATTTGAGGCATTCTCTGCTGAGAGGGAACCAGGCAGAAGCCCTTGGGTGGAGTTGGCATCAGGTGGCATCTGCCCCCCTTCCAGTTGCCCTGCATCTCCCCTCCCCCGCCAGAGTTTTTTTTTTATGTATTTGAGAGAAAACACCTAACTGCCATGTGATGGAGGTTCTAGTCAAGGTAGGGCATCTGAGCCAACCTGAATAGGCTTGGTTGTCAATACATGGGGAGGGATGGTAACTGAGCTCCTCAGGGACCCCCCCGCAAGCTGTGGCAGTACCCTTGGCAACCTGTTCAAAGCCTTTGCTTTCTGAAGCCCAGGTTTCCCTTGGTGGGAGGCCTATAGGCTGGTGTGTTCCATAGAGCAGTGCTAACCTTCTAAGAGTGCCCTGTTGGCACAGCCTTGTCATCAAAGCTCAGTGTCTGACTGGCCAGTGAGGAGGTATAGGTGGAGCAGGCCTTCCCATGTGCAGGAAGAGACCATCTCACTGGGAACACCATTTGAAGCTTGGGCTTGTCTCCAGCCTGGCACATGCTTTCTGCAGACTGGAGGATAACCAAGCCTTTCCTGACCCACTGAGTGCTGGATGGAGACTGATCAGGGTAGATGATGCCTGTTTACTGCCTGGCTGCTCTTGGGTACACTGGAGCCTTGGGTTGACTCAGTACCATGTAGGTAGGGTAGGCTAGACAACAGTCTATTCACTGGGAAGGGCACCAGCATCCCAGGAAGAGACTTCCTCTGTCCCTAGAGATTAGTAGCTCCTAATGTGGTAGGGGCTGTCCAGAGAGACCCTAGGGGAACCTAGTATAGCCTAGTTATACTGGGCCTGGCCTATGACTTTTCATCATTGATCTCTAGGACCACTGTACTTCCCCTCCCTCTTTTCTTCCTCCCTCCCCTCCCTCCATAGCTACTTCTTATTCAGCCTATGGATATTGGAAGGGTGAAACTGAGGGAGACAGTTTCTGCCTGTGTGTTCCCCCTTCTGTTGCCTGTGCCCTGACAACCAGCTGCCCTGCCAAGGCCCTCTTCTAGTGAGCCTCTGAGGAATAGGGGTGGGGTATGCTTGGTGGGAAGGGAACTAGAACAGCTGTTTTCCAGCAGGTTGGCCATGAGATCCCCTTCCTCTTCTGGGAGTCCTGGCTAAGCCCCATCCATTGGCATAGTCTACAGCCAGTCCCCCACCCCCATAAGGATGAGAGGGATTCTGGCTAGAGTCCCCTCTGCTCCTGGTCAGATTGAGAGACGTATGCTGACTTCTCTGGCTGGTTTTCTTTCCAGTTGAGCATCTTATCTTGTTCAGGGAGAGATGCAGGCTCCTGCTGTGTTATGCCTCATCCTTGGTGAGGAGAAAGGGGGAGGGGAAGTCAGGCAGAGGGAGCAGAGCTGGAGACCACTGAGAACCAGGGAGGAGCTTGGCTGCTTGGTTTTTAAGTTCAGCTTCATTAGGTATGGTTTAACAGTCACATGCAGGTTAAGAAACAATGTAGAGATTCAGGTGCCTTGTGTTCTTGTCTCCCAGTTCTGTAGCTCAGCGTCACAAACAGGATGTTAATGTTCAGCCAAGGTCCAGAATGTCCCATTCCCTCAGGGACCCATGGGGCCCTTTCATAGCCTTAGCCACTGTGCGTCCAGACCTACTCCTTTACCCATGTCCCGAGTGTGGGTGTCCTCCCTGGAAGTGGTTCCACACTCTTGAGTGTGCCCTTGGTCGTGTCCTCTGAGATTGAGGCAGGTGGCTGTTGTAGCTCCATGTTCCTGCTGCCACGTAGCAAGGCAGGCTGTCAGTGTGCCAGGTCAGCTGTTGACCTTGGCTGTCAGTGTGCCTAGGATGGCTACTGGTAACCTTGGAAACCCTGTGGGCTGTGTTCAGTTCTTTTTAAATATTTTATTTATTATTTTTATGTTATATGTATGAGTGTATTGCCTGCATGTACGTAAGGTACCCATGTTGTACAATGCCTTTGGAGGTCAGAAGAGGGCATTGGATCCTCTGGAACTAGAATTAGGGATGGTTGTTAGCCTCTGTGTGGGTGCTGGGAACTGAACGCAGGTCCTCTGCAACAGCAGCCAGTACTCTTTAACTGCTGAACCATCTCTCCAGCCCCTGTGTTCAGTTCTTGGTTATTAAAGCCCTTTTGTAGATTTTGTGTGAATGTAAGTCTCAGTTCTCTGGGATGAGGGTCCAGAAGTGGAACTGTAGGTTCTATATCCCATGACCTAAAAGACGGTTTCCCTGAATCTTCACTAGCACTTGATGTCACTTTTTCTTATTTTGCCATCCTCATAGGAGGACAGCGATTTCACTGTGTTTTGAATTTGCATTGTTTTTCTTGGATCTGGTTGGAATTCAGTTTGTGTTACCTGTCACTTCAGAAGCCACTGAGCAAGAGACCAGAACTGAATCTTAGCACTGCTTTATTCAGAGAGCCAGCACTCTAAGAGATAGTGAATTAATATCTTAGACATCTGTCTCCACTTCATCTCCAGCCGGCAGATTACACAGGGAGAAAGTGAGAGGAGTGAAGACAGTCAGTCTCTCTAGAGCTCAGTCCCACCCTCTGCTTGGTGCTCAGCCACAGTTTTGAACTTGTGGTGTCTGTGTCTCCTGTTACCATTCCTGCACTCTTCCCTCATTCTGTGGATGTCTGGGGTCAGGCCCTTCTTGAAATTCTGGTTTCTGCCCATATCTACCTTGTACTCCTCCAGGGGTGTCTGGGCTGGGAGGGGTTAACTCAGAACAGACTGTTAGCAGTGTGCCTGTGCTGAGCTGTTTATAACTCCTTTTTACAATGTGGAGTACAAGCGTGTCTTCATAATACAGAAGATGAAGGTGCCCCATCTGTCCCACCTGTTACCTAATCAGTCGGACGTCTACTGATGTTCCAGTTTGCTGTTCGTATGTCCTGTTTTGGTCGTCTGCCTGTTCCAGATCATTTGTCGTTTTTCTTTTTGGTTTTGAGCACAGTTGATGCATTCTGGACACTAATCCTTCCTGGATGTGGGTAGCATTGGTGAACATCTCTAACTCTGTAGCTTTTCCTTTCCCTTCCCTTGCTATATGTGCACTTGTGTATGATCAGGGACAGCCTTGGGTGTAGGTCTACACCTGCCCCCTTGTTTGAGATAAGCTCTCTTTTATTGTTTGTTCCCACACATACCAGGCCAGTTCACCTGCAGATTTGGGGGATTCTTCTGTCTCTGGCTCTTGTCTTGCTGTAGGAGCACTGGGATCACAGACATGCCTACCGCGCCTGGCTTTTTTGTGGGTGCTGGAAATCCAAACTCAGGTCCTCCTTTTTAAATTTAATAACCCACAGGCTATAATTTGTGCTGTCCACATACTTAGGGGTGTGGGGCCGTCCACTGGAGGATGGCCAACCTACCAGGGGCCACACCCTTAAAGAAAGCCGAGTCTCCTTCCCCCAGAAGCCATCAACTGTTCATAGCGCCTTAGTTAGGGGTGGCAGCTTGCGAACCTCTTTCCCCTCCATGCTAGAATGTTGACTGGGTTGATCTTGTGCAGGTCCTGTGCAGACAGCCACAGCTGTTGTGAGTTCATGAGTGTGGTGGTCCTGTCACATCCAGAAGACAGTGTTTGCTCCCCAGCCTCGGTCTTAATCTTTCCACCCTCCTCTTTCTGAGATGCCCAGCCTTGGGGAGGCGTAGATGATACGGACGTCCCACTTGTGGCTGAGCGTTGTGCAGTCACTTACTCTCAGCACTTTAACGGGCTGTGAGCTTCTGTGTTGACCACCATCTTACTTGATGAGGACTGAGCTGCACTAAACGTGGTTCAGGACTGCTCTGCTGGGTCTGCAGCAGCCACTGGAGCTGCCGAGAATCTCATTTTCTTAACATGGTCTCTGGTAGAGCAAGTATTTTCAGTTTTGATGAGGTCTCGTCAACAGTTTTCTTTCTATGGATCATGCTGTGGGATCAAGTCTAATTCACCAACTCTAAATTCAGGAGATTTCTCACTATCTTTCTAAAGTGCTTATAGTTTCAGGGGCTGAAGAGATGACTCAGTGGTTAAGAGCACTGGGTGCCCTTAAAAGGACCTAGGATTGGTTCCCAATACCCACCCACATGGCGGCTAACAACCACTTGTAACTCCAGTTCCAGGGAATCCATGCCCACTTCTGTAGGCATTGCACAACACAGATGCACTTACATACATTCAGATAATACACTCATATACATAAAAATTTTTTAAAATGTAAAGTATTTAGCGTTTTACAGGCAAACCCTGTAAGGGTTAGGTCAAGGTTCGCTTTTTTGACCTGTGAGTGTTCATTTAGTTCAAGGCCATTTGTTGAAACTTACCTCTTACATTTATTTTTCATTTATTTATTTATTTATTTAT